GTTGTTCTAACATTCCCTGTTCCAATTGTATGTAATTTCTTGCAGCATCGTACTTTCATTTCGACCCTGGCCACATCAGTAGCTGGACGTTCTTTCGGCTTTGATCCAGCCACTTCATCAACTCCATGCCTACTCATACTTGTACTTTGCTCTTCCCCAATAGCTTTTTGAGTACCTTCCAACCTGGAGGGCTCATCTTCCGGTACTATATTGAGATTGCTTTAGTTGTAATTGTCCATATTGGTTTTCTTGGCAGAATTCTGGAGTGGGTTGCCATTTCCTTCTCCACTGGATCGAATTTGGTCTGATCCCTCAGCTGTGACCTGTCCGTCATGGGTGACACTTCTGGGAGTATGTTTGCCCGACGGTATAGCTCGCAGCCTCCTTGGAATACACCAGCCCCTTCACCGCGGCAAGGTAACGATCCATGAAGGGACCTTATAGTCTTATAATGTAATAAATATTAATTACTCTCTCGAGCAACATAATCTTACTTTAAAAATTTCTTCCAAATAAATTTTTAAATAATCTTTCAATTTGGTATATAATTCTTCACCAACAAGATTGTTTCTATCATTTGGATTATATGGTCGATTAGTGTGAGTACGTCTTCTAGGTATTTCTGATCGAGAGCTTTGTGATTGAGTACTTGTATCTGTACAATAGCTATGAACCATACTATAAAAAAAGATTCGAATAATGAAATAGAAATCAAAAAGGAAGAAGAAACTCATTTACTTATAAAGATCCATAGACGATGTAGGTAACATTTCTTTAGTTCGATAAATATGTTCAAGAGCTTCTAATACTTTTATCCAAACATCATTAAAATTAACATTACGATCTATGTGTGGCATTTTCTTTTAAATCAATATCTGTGAATAGAAGAACAATAGTATTACAGTTATGTGCGTTGTGAATAAATACAAGATGGTGTACGAGCTTTACTTGTAGTGTGAGATCAACTTGAAGTACCTCGAGTTTCGAATATCAAAAGATCTTAAAAGTCATTTAAGACTTCATTCAGACTCAATTCTGAGAACCTCATTATTATATAAATATCAAGATTAACGATTACTATTTAATCGAAGCAGTTTTCTTCATTTATATACAATAAACCATACAATTCTAGTTTAATTTCTCACACCCAGTGAGAAATCGTATCAAGTAGAATACTTTTATGTATAATACTTACACTGATGTACATATGGTGTTTATGATTTTATTTGATAATGGTTAGATTAAATTTTTAGTATCTTTATGTTTTACTGTCCTAAATCTCTTTATCTATCTCTTTACCGACATATTTATGTTATAGAAAAAATGAGTCTATATATAAGATATGAGGAAGATGTAGGAAAAAACCAATAAAAAAAGATAATAAAATCGAAAAAATACATGAGTCATTATATTACAATAACGGAGGCAGTAATAAAGCGAATACAGGAAAAAATTTCTGCGAGAACGAAGAAAGAAATACAATTATAGTTAATAATATGTGTTTGGAAAGAAAAAAAAGAAAGAGAACAAACATGTATAATAATACCATACAACACATATTTTGTGGTACGTTTACATACTTTCTATAACATGTATTAAGAGAATCGCATATCCAGTGAGTTTCGAAAATATAATTTATCTTATCAATTGAGAACTTAATTCACAATTAATGCACATTTTCCGAGAAATAAATTAAATTGATATTGCTCACACTATTGATTCAAAAACGATTCGAATGTCTTCCATAAAAATATATAAAATAAAATTTGAAAAAATTGATCTGTTTGGAGTTTTAATTATAGAGCAACTCTCAGTAAAGTCATACAGATATTATCGAATAAAACAAATTTTGTAATTAATACACATTCATATTGTTTCGTATTATTTGATTTATGACACAAAAGTAAGTTCTCGATATCTTCGAATGAAAGAATTAAACTTGCAGTTTTATTCAAATAATTCGTTATACAAAATTCAGGGAAGAAGAAACCTGAACAGATCAACCAGGATAACTCAAATACTTCATTTGATATGTCATCTAATTTGTCTTTCTATATTAGAAGTTAACGTTGCATTCCGTCTATCATTATCTTTATTGAATACTAATTGATGATTATTGGAAGAAACATGTTCAACAATATTTTCAAATCAAATAACATCTAAAATGTTGACTATAGTTCAAAATTTTTACCATCATAAAAAGAAAATCTTTGTACAATATAATTCAACAGAAAATATAAGGAAAGAAATCGTTCATTCGTATTTTCTGGGTAAAAAATAATTTTCTATATAGAACAATAAACTAAAAAATCCTTACTTGCGTCTATAGTGAAGTTGAAAATCAGATATACTATACTATTTGATTTTTACATTAAAAAACCAAACAATGTATTTATTTGGTTGTTGTAAAAACTGCACTTTCATCTGTTGAAAAAGTCTCGCTAAGTTTCTTCTTCTAGAAGCGCATATCAAACAGATAAGTGATTGCTTACACTATATTAGATTTAACTTTATTTTATAAAAATCCTTCTTAATGAATAAAAGCTGAAGTCAATATACGCAGTGCATAGTAGAACAACAGTTAGACGCAAGGATTTTTATTACTACTAATGTCCATTTCTAATTAAAAGAAGGGTGATTGTTTTTTAAATAACTTTCGAACCGTTATAGCTATCGATCTGCGGTTTTCACCATTAGAAAGATCATGTGATTCCGCATCTTTTGATATAATGGAAATTATNACACATGGGTTGGAGGAGCCATTTAGGAGGAATTACGCGTAAGCCACGATCAATTCCGGCAGAACCTTGCTCAATCGATCTCACCACCGTGGCTGATATTTTCACAGTAGGCATACCGAGTAAAGTTAGGAAGAAAATAAAATTTTCATCTCAAACGAGGGAATCATTATGGAGATAGAGATGTTATAAGTATAGGTATTTAGACACATTTGTAGTATCTTCCAAGCTATACTTCTGAGTTAAATTTTATCTTCTAAAGAACAACAAGAGTTATAACAGAGATTTCTTTACCATAGATACTATCGTCCATGGGATATGATGCCCATAGTTTTTACTCAAAAGTGATTTGCCATCGAGGAACATTCTCTTCTAAAAACGTATGAAAAATTAGATGAATCGAATATCATCCAATAAGATTTGAAACAGTACCTCTTCTGTCATCTTTCACAATTGTGTCCAAACGAGTTGAAATTTCGGTTTTAAAGGTTTCTCGACATAGGCTCTCATCTAAATCACACAAATCGAACACTTGAGAATAAATCATCAATTTGTATTGTTAGAATCATACGGCAAATTTGACCTTTTTGACCTTGTTCAAAAAGTTTCGTGTACCAAAGTGGACATGACTTCAACAAAATGGCATATGGCATCAGCCAGAAAATATTAGTCGATACGGCACTTTCAATCCAATAAAAAGATAGAATATGGTCGACAGCATGAATGGTAAAAAACTCTCTGTTATAACTCTTGTTGTTCTTTAGAAAATAAAATTTGACTGAGAAGTATTGCTTGAAAGATACTACAAATGTGTCTAAATACCTATACTTGTAACGTCTATATCTCCATAATGACTTAGTCGCTTCACATGAAATTTTAAGTTTCTTCCTAACTTTACTCGGTATATCTACTGTGAAAATATCAGCCAGAGTGGTGAGATCGATTGAGCAAGGTTCTCCCGGAATTGGTCGTGGCTTGTGTGCAATACCTCTTAAATGTTAATGTCTAATATATCACTGACGCTTTCGAAAAAAAATTTTTGCTTTATCAGAAAAATGGCCTAAAAGGATTTTGTTTTTGTTGCTTTTTCATGCATGACATCAGATTGTTTATTCTGTGGGACTATCTTTATATTTCTGAAGAAAATTAAAGTTGAAAAACATCATCATTTCTCAAACGTGATTCCGTCACGAAAATGTGATTCCGTCACAACTCCTTTTTCTGTCTACAAAATTAGCATTGCGTGTTTTTCAAATTTTCTTTTTTTGTATGTGTAACTCGTCATCTGAGCTATAACTTTTCTACAGAAACTTTTTCATTGCATTTATAGTTGAGCTAAGTTTTGAATTGTTTGCACAACACTCAAAATCCAAGTCCATTTTTGATGATTCCGTCACGGTCTATATTTCAACCATAAAATAGGTACCGAAACTTCAAATCTAATGAAACTTTCAGTATGTGTAGAGGAAATTGACTTACATAATTTATGAATATTTCAGCTTTATCCGACTTCATTTCATTGAGATATTGAAAAAGCAAAGTGAAAAAAGGTGATTCCGTCACGCTTGGACAGGTCGATATGTTAATTCAAGAGATATTCATTAAAATCGGTTAGAAATATTATTATTTATTGATCAAGCATTATTTAATAATTAATGCTGCTCGATTGATCCATATCTTCAATATATAAATAAAGGATTTATTTTAGGTAAAATTCCAATGGATCAAATTGCTGTTGAAATATTTTATAATGATCGACGAACTCATCGTTTAACAGTAACATTTTCTTCTCATGCAAATTTAAATATACATATAAAAAAAACCAATTTGTTCAACATGTAATTAGTATCGAATATGTATTATTGTTTTTCAATTTGAATTATAAATAAACAAAAATATATTATGTATTTAAAAGAATTTTATTAATTAATATATTATTTAAATAGAATTCTATTTGAATTAAATAAATCACCAATCAAATATATTTATTTATTAAAAAACTTTTTATTGAGATAAATATATATATACATTTGTTCGAATGGTGACAAGAATAGATAAGAAATAAATAAATAAGATTAGTTCTAATAGATATCTTATCGGAATTTTTCAAATATCGATTTATAATTAATTTAAGATTTTATTTTATTTATATTCAAATTAATTTTCAAAAAATCGATGATCTTATTAGTTAATCTTGGTTTATTATTTAGAATATAAATATGTTATTTCGATTTCATTTGATACAAAAATCGAACAATAATGATATATCTTATTTTCTCTGGGAGTGAAAACATGCTCGAAAAATATAAAATGATATTATACTTTCTTATAGGAAAAAATCCTCAACGTTTATCTGTAGAAGAGTTAGTTGCAACATTCTTTTATCATTATTATTGTTTTATTTAGGCATCGTTTTTCTTAATTATCAATATTTTTCTGTTCAGTTCTATATAAATATTTACTCGGTCAGTGTCGAACCAAGTAAATCGATTCTCAATGAGTGTTATTTCTCTATAGAAATTAATTAATTTAATTTTATATTCATTTGAACATAATCAATAATAAGTTTATATAAAATAAATGGATAAAGATTCTATTAATGAAAATCATTGGCTATTCTATATCCTTTTACATCGATATTCTTCATTTAAACAACTACATAAACAATTAAATAAATGATTTTTATATTATTATTTCATTTGAATAAATAAATCGTGATCATTTCATATATATTGCTTATAATAAAATAAAACAAATGTTCAAGAAGAAATAAGTTCAATTATATATATATAAGAGTAACTTTAAACAAATAGGTTTAACTAAACTATATTTAGTTCTTACAGCAAAAATAGATCGTATACTAAAAGGTGTTATTTTCATAATTAATATATGTATTATCAGATTCAATTCTAACTACTATTTATGACAATAAAAGTGCTAGTTCATGTAAGTCACGGCCTAACTTGCTCAATTTAATGTGTGCTACATAAAGAAATTTACAAAGTAGCGGAGTAAGGGAACGTTACATCACACACATTCTCCCCTATTTAAACCTCTAAACAAATCATTCTTTTACCAAAAAAGCTTTTATATTGCAAAATCAAAGTGAAAATTTCGAAAGACCAATTTAACATTCGGATTTTCCATCCCCAACTACTTTTGGTCAAACTTTACAAAAAACGGGCCGTTATTTCCTTGAAAAACGCTTTTTTTTTATTCCATGGAGGTGATTATTTGTGCCGAGTTTGAAATCGAAACTCGAAAGTCAACTTTTAATGTAATCTAAGGAGGATTACATGATTTTCTTGAAAAATTCAGTCAAAATTCGAATTCATCACAACGAAGGCTTGGAAAATCAAATCGTTCTAAAACTTTTCAAAATTCGCTAACGATCATCGAATAAATATAGTCTCGATCCAGAAAAGATCTATCACATGAAGAAACTCTCTAAATGATTCATGAACGTTTGTCGATAAGAATTCTAAAGTTGACAACTATCTATGGATCATATTTAGAATCAAACAATCGATCTACAACTTTGAAAATGAAGGATTTTTTTTATCAAAGGTTAGCTTTGGAAAACCGTATCTCAATAAGGTCTTTGATTATGAGAAGAATTTCAGCCATATGGCAGCAGAAAGAACCTCACGCTGTCTGAAAGACCTGCCGTATACAGGAAACATGTAACACTAAATAGTATTTTGATACATATAATTCGTTCTTCAAATGGAAAAATAAACTTTACTTCTAGATTTCAATGAATATCTCTTTTATCAGAGATAGGAGAATAATTTCTTTATTAATATACATCATAGTGCTGAGTGAAGAAAATTTAGAAAAAAATGAGTACATGTATTTCTTTGTTTTTTTTTATTATTACAGCATAGAACAAATAGAAAATATATTGTTTTATTGAAACGATATATAACAAAAGAAAATATTTTAGAAAATTTTCTGAATGAAGAAATGATTTATCTCAATCAAGATGTTTTACTTGACTAAAGTTAAAACATGTGTTTTATCAATGGTAAAACAGTTATATCATCATTGTAAGTGATTCATAGGTAATGTATATTAAGAAGTTTAAGATGAGAAAATGTAATTAATTATGTTCGAAAGGATTTTTATCAATCGTTGTCAAACATCGAGCTGTATGAAATATACCTCCTGGAAAAGAATTCTTTATTTCAGGTAAATATTCGATTTGATATGGAAGTGAATAAAGACGATATTTAGTTTCAATCATGCTTGAATGAATATTTTTATATATGAATCCTCTTCCAATGAAAGATTTCTATTAATTTTATATCTATAGACAAATGTTTGAATACTAAACGTTAATTTGTTTAAGTTTTTCATATGAATAAGAATTTGATCATATAATAAAATACCATCAATAGAATTTGAGTAAATTATTTCTATTAATAAATAGAATTTCAATTCTTCAAGATTTATCATTCGACGAATAAATGATCATAATAACTTCTGTTATTAATATTGAAAATATCTATTTGATTCTTCATAATACAAAAATGATGATCGAAATGAAATAATTCTTGTATGTATGTATGTATTTATACCCGTACCAACTTGGTTTTGGGTGAAGGCAAAAAAAGTTACACAGAAAATGACAAAAAAAGAAATATTCTAAAGGTCATTTTATTTTTTGATCGTCGATGAGTTCAAGTAAAACAATGGTTGTTCCAGTTGCCATCTCCAAGTCATAAAGACGTGGTTTCGATGACCACCTTCATTTAGCACTCTTTACTTGAAGACAGCTTCTTCAGCATTGGATGAAATCACTTGTTTGCCAATTGGAATTTGATGTTGTTGACACCATATCTTTGCACAGGACCTTGTGTGGTTGGTTATTCCTTGTGGTTTAAATTGCTTCTTGCAGTTCGGGCATGTGTATGTGTTGTTGTTATTTCGGCATAGCAGATCAGTGACTTTTGCAGGAGGTGATACAGTTGTGACTCGTCTTTGAACAGCACGTTGTTTAACTTATTGAATGCTATTGAGTATGTCAGGCATTGGGGGTTTGACTTGTGTGAATTGGTTGATGATTCTTCGCCAAGAATCTCGATTAAGAGTTTGTCTTCTCCAATTATGGATGTTCATTTTTTTCTAAATCATCTTTTATTCTATCTTCCCAGTTCTCGAACGTACCAGCATTGCAAGGCCTTTTAGAGTCAGCATAGTACGAGAACATAATCTTCTTGATGAGAGATGGTTCGTCATTTTCACCATTCATTCTATTCACATGACCAAACCAGCGGAGGCAGTTTCTTCGAAGAATATTTTCAAGATTTGGTTCGCCCGTGATTTGAAGAAGTTGTTCGTTAGACATTCGATCCCCAAGATTAGTTCCAATAATCGTCCGAAGACATCGATGATAGAATGTACACAGGCGCTGCTCCAGAGCCACTGCTACAGACCATACTTCACTGCCATAGAGTAAGACTGGAAGAATACATGAGCGGAATATGCGAAGTTTCGCCTCGATAGATACTGTTTTTTGATACCATACTACATGACGAAGCATATTAAATGCCACTGTAGCCTTTTCCAATCGCATTTCTATTTCATGATAGAACGAGAAGGTACGCGTGAAGCAACAACCAAGATAACAAAATTCATCCACCATTGCAACTGCATCATTTCGGATTGTTATGTCAATTTGTGGATGTATAATCTCTTCATCTTTGATAATTTTCTTTGATGTATCCACTTTGAGTTGTGTGCATTGCATAATACATGTTTTCTTGATGCTCATTGTGATGCCATATTCTTGTGAAACTTCTTCGAAAATTCTAACAAAGAGTTTTAGATCTGTAGTATTGTCGAAACAACCCACGACATCGTCAGCATAGAGGAGTGCTAACAGGTCAATATCCTTATTGTTATTACTGGCTGAATGAAAGAAGTCTTTTCCATATGCTAGTTTCACACCTGTGACATTTAATACGACCAGCCGATCAAGGATTTGACGCATCACAAAATCGAAGAAGACATTGAAAAGAATTGGTGACGGGATGCCACCTTGTTGAACATCAGTTTCAATATCGAATGGGTCAGATAATTCACCGTTGATACGTACTCTTGCTTTTGAATCTTTGTATAGAAGTTGAAGCAATCGAACAATTTTTTGGTGAGTCCATAATGTCTGCATATACACCATAGAATTTCACGGTTAATAGAATCATAGGCTTTTTGTATATCAATGAAGCATAGAAAGAGTGATTTGTAATGATCTCGTGTTTTCTCCATCAATAGTTTAAGTGTGAAGATATGATCGATGGTAGATCTATTAGACTGAAAGCCAGCTTGCTGTTCCATAATTTGAGTTCCCAGATGGCTCTGCACACGATTCAGAATAAGTCGAGAAAAAACTTTGCTTGCCACCAGTAAGAGAGATACCGCGGTGGTTACCACAGTCTCGTTTGTCACCTTTGTTTTTGAACAAGCGAATTATCATTGCTGTGGACCAGTCTTCAATTGTTTGTTCCTCCTCCCATATTTCGACGAAAAGACTATGTAGACATGTAGATCGAGCACGTCCTCCCGCCTTGATGACATCGGCTGATAGTCCATCCATACCAGGTGCTTTCCCGCTTTTCATTCGTCGTATTGCTTCTTCGACTTCCAGTAGCGATGGAGGTTTGTCCTGTCGATTTTGTTCTTCAGGAGATAGCTGAGAGATTGATATTCGTTGCATAATTGAAAGAACAATCGTGGATGGTACATTAAGTAGTTCACAGAAATATTTGCTCCATCGATGAAGACGTTCATGACTATTAGTGAGTAAATTGCTTTGCTTGTCATGAATAGGCATTTCTTCGATTTTGGCTTTTCCTCCTTTGAGTCTTCGAATCATTCTATATGCTGTTGCAGGGTCATGCTGTTTGATTGCTTGTTCGATTTCGAGGCTACATTCATCCCAGTATTCCATTTGACGTTCTTCTATCTTTTTCTTTGCTTGTTTTCGAAGAGTACAATATTGTGTACGATATTCGTGTTCTTGTCGAGTACCTCGGTGATTTTGCCATTGAAGAAAAGCATGTGACTTTTTATTCACGAGGTCGAGGATTTCATTAGTTAGCCACTCCTTGTGTTTTCTTTGAGGTTCAGTCACTCCGAAGAAATGTTCACTGAGATCTTTCATGGTGGTTGAGAGTTCAGTGTATCTTTCATTTGTTGAAGATGCTGTTGAGATTGAGGAGGATGTAGTGGCAAGTGCGGCTTGAAAGGCTAGGACAGTGACAGGATCACACAGTTTCCTCTTGTCCAACTTTCTGGATTGCTTGGCTGTGGACTTCTTTCGGCTCCTAAGATGAAGTCTGACTTTTGATCTTATCAGGTGGTGGTCTGTTCCAATGACTCCAGCTGCTGTTCGATACGCACATACATTCTCTATGGTTGATCTGAATTTTCTGTTGACAAGAGGGTGTGGGTGTGGGTGTGGGTGTGGGTGTGGGTGTGGGTGTGGGTGTGGGTGTGGGTGTGGGTGGGGGGGGTGGGTGGGGGTGTGGGTG